CGGCGTTCACGGCAGCAGCGGCGGCGGCGCTGATATTGTTGGGAAACGTCATCGTCGCGGAAGCTTCGACTTCGCCTTCGGCGTTCGTACAGAACGTCATCTACTCAACAAGATTGCCATCTTCTCCAATTCCTATTGCCCGTATGTTATTATCTCGCTATTGCTTGTTCATTTTGGCTTTTGTGATAAATTTAAGGTATTGGGATTGGAAATTCATAAAGCAATCAAATTGGAATTTGAGAATTGTGAGTTGGTCAATTTGATAATTATGAGAAATATTTAGAGTGTTCATGTTGAGGAAAATATGAATCCATCATCTCAAATGGGACCTTTTTACTAATTTATAGATTACTTTTCATTTTCATGGATTTATTGCATTGTTTTCTAATTCTGGGAAATGAATTGGTGCGTTTCATCTACTAAATCTTCAGCTTTCTGTTATTGAAATACTTCGCAAGTTGAGTAGAAATGTTTAGAAAAAGAACTCTGTGCATGCCTGTGTGTGTGAATTTAAGTAATGTTGGAATGAGGGATTGTGTGCTGTTTTGTGGATTCTTCTTTGAGGGTCTCTTGCTTGGTGAGAATTGTACAGACAGGGAAAGGGGAAGTGGGTAGACAGAGCCAAACTCTCACCCAGAAGCAGCTCCTCATCACTTTCATGTGGTACAACAAAATTTCAGGCCAAAGCTTGACCATCAACGTTGGGACAAAGACAACACCCTTCACCATTCAAATTCAACTTCAATTCACATGCATCTGGCTGGGAGATTTTAGTTCCCAAGCATCTGGCTTCTCTTGGTTGTTGTTTCTTTGTTTTTTCTCTCTTATTTTTTTAATTTATTTAGAGCAACAAGTTTGGGTTTTGTGAATTTTTCTTCCTTCAATTTTTCCCTTGTCCTTTTAAAAAAAATAAATTAATATGAGGTTCTCTAATATATTAAATTAGATTTTTTTAATCGTAGCATAAGATTTCGTTTTATTGTAATAAAAATTCATTCATCTTAGTCATCAAAGAAAATAGAGCATTGAGATACCAGTTAGAGAAGAAGAAGAAGAAGAAGAAGAAAAGAGAGGTTGTGGTGAGGTTCAATCAGGGGTTTGGGTTTAATGGTGGTGGAGGTGGTGGTGGGAAAGATGACGGAGCTACTGCTAGAGTTCTGGGTAATTTAGCTTTGGCTGTTGGATTGATTTATCTTTCATTTACTGGGCAGCTTGGTTGGATTTTGGATGCAATTGTTTCCATTTGGGTACTCTCTTTCATTTAGCAACTGATTTGGGGTTCTTCTCACAAATCTTAGTTCCTTTACATTTCTTAAAAAAAACAGGTAGTCTAATATAATCATTTTTATTTTTGACTCTGACATCAGCATGTAGGATTATATCTCTAATGAAATTGATGCTTTTTCACATCCAGCTCCTTGCAGTGCTTGTAGCAATTGTTGGTGTGGGTGCTTTTCTGTGGTGGGCAAGGCAGGATATGGTTCAAGACAGTGTAAGGCTACTTCTATTTTTTCTCTTGCTCACTTCTTAAAGCTCATAGTTTTCTTTAACTGTGGTATCAAAAATCTATTGTTGCCTAGTGAAAACACAACCGAAGTTGTTGAGTGCCTTAATTTCCATTCTCTCAATTTGATCATTCCCTCTACCAGTTTGGCACCTACAAGTGACTAGTAAAACCTTTTTTATTATTTATGTCAGGTTCAGTTATTTTTTTTAAAATATATTAGGTCTTACATGATGTTTTGGCATTTGTGGACGGTTAATTTATCAATTTACAGATCTTCTAGTGGATAGTGTACCGTGTACCGTGTACTGAAACGCTCTATGATTTTTCTTTTATTTGGAGTTGACAATTAAGTAATATTGGCGTGCTCTTGATTTCAAAAAACTGTATCACAGGTGCTAACAGGTAATCTGGATTGGTGTTGGATAGTTTCCATGGATAGGCATGCAGAAATCTTTTGTGTTATAATCAGTTCATTCTTTCCCATGTGAGATGTATTAGATAAATGTATGATATGTATAGGATGTTTGGAGAAGGTTTGAGTACGCAAGTGAAACTCTTTCATGTAACAATTCACGAACGCTTCATCCACATCTTGTAATCAAGTAATGTCAGAGTAACATCCTGAGGGTGATTTTCAATTGTGAAGTTTTATTTATTTCTTACTCTGATGTCTTTTGCTTTTAATGAACAACAACCATTGTTCCCATAAAGTTCCATATAGTGAGGACTTGAGAAAATGGTTATGCACCATATGTTGTTCCCATAAAGTGCCATATAGTAGGGATGAATTTCCCATAAAGGTTTTCTTATACTGTGTTGCTCGTGATCTTTTAAGTGCTAGATAACTTAGTTCATTTTGAGTATTTTTAGTTTTAAATGTAATTTTTATTGTGATTTAAATATCATGTTACAATGGATAGATTTGCAGGTTGTATGTAATTATATTTATTTTAATTAGTTTGCAATTTCTATTTTCAATTTATTTTTTAATATATTTATTTTATTATTAGGTTTAGCTTGGTTTTGCTTCTGAATCAGTTATGAAGCTTTGCAGAAGTGAATTAACAAAAATTAACCAATGCCCTTTGGTTATGTTGGTCGTTGATTGATTGCAAATAAAACAGATGGAGGAAAGGGTAATTGTACACCGCTGTCTAGTTTTTGTATCATGGGACGTGCAATTGCGTAGTCTCTTTAAAGCCTAAATTGGAATAAAATTCATTTTTAATGACTTTTGTAAACCAAGATATGCAATTGCATACCATTTATGCAATGGTCGACCTTATATATGCAATTATTACCTTTTGTACAAACAAATGTCACTATCTTGCTTTCTCGAAGTACACAAACTAGTGTAGATTTAATAAGCAAGTGAAACTTTTTCAAGTTTTTGGAACTCAAATGGTTGTTCGAGTTCTTGGAACTCAAATGGTTGTTCAAGTTCTTGGAACTCAAATGGTTTTTTAGGTTTTTATACTCGAGATCGATATCTTAATCATTACCCTTAACATGGATAGTGATGAATCCAATTTCTGCATCTCACAAAGGTAAGGTCAAAGATTAAAATATCGGTCGTGCAGATAATATCGGGCCTCTAATTTACGGATATTTGGGGGAATATGTCGTTATTGTTTTAGGTATCAGAAAAAAGTCAACAAAAATGACAAATACAGGAGTTGAAATACGTAATTTTGGTGTAAAATTTTTATAAATGTTATGTACATGATCAATGAATGTATTGAACAAATAAAACTCAAAATTTACTAATAATAAGATATACATATGATGAAATATAAGTGGTATGTAATACGTATTAATGAAAAGTTTGAAAATAAAATGTTGATTAGAATGGTTTGTTTAAATATTGGATTATAATTTAGGTGATTGTCCATCTACATAAATGAAGAGCTCCTATGAGGTGCAGACAATAAAGAGCAACCATCTAGATTCATATTCACTTCCTTTTCCACTAAGTGATTGCTTAGGGACCATAGCGTACAATCTGGGCAGTTTCCCTCTCGACTTTGGATATACCAAGTCATGTAATCCGACTTTGGATATAACAATAGTATATATCATACCCATACGTTTTTTCCTTAAATAATAATAATAATAATTTCTTCAACTCAAAATAAAACACCCATTCCTGTCTTCTTCTTTCTCGTGAACTCTTATTTTTTTTCTTACCGAACATACCAACATTTAAATTTATCAAATGAACGCAACATACCCAATGAACGCAACCCTTGCGTTCACGTGGAAAAATAGTGCGTTTGTTTGATAAAGTATTTTCCTTGGTCCAATTTCTCGGGGAACGGCGAACTTTACTCAACGAACGCACTCTCTGCGTTCGCCTGAAAAAGTAGCCTATTTGTTTGAAAAAGTAAGTTAGTGGGGTCTATTTTCCTAGGGAACGGGTAATTTTACTCAACGAACGCACCCCTTGCATTCGCGTGAATAAATATTCCTTTTGTTTGAAAAAATAAGTTAGTGGAGTCCATTTTCTAAGGAACGGACAATTTTAGTCAACGAACGTAACCCATGCGTTCGCGTGAACAAATAGCCTACTTTTTTTTGAAAAAGTAAGCTAGTCAGTTGATGAGTGTCTCAAATTACATCTTTTTAATATTATTTTGGAGACTTTATGATATAATTTTGGCTTAATAAACATAATTTCACTTGTTGTCACATTTTATTCTCACCAACTGGATTCATGAATTTTCTATATTAATTTGGTGAACTTATTAGGTAAATTTATCTTTTGTAGGAAGTTGGAAAGCCAAAAGATGAACATACATTTGTCCAAGTTCGAGCTAGGTGTGAAGAAAATTGCTGGTGGATTTTATTGAAGAATTGATTGTGGGATTATTGTGATTATAAAGAAGGAAAAGACAAAACCGTTGAAGCTAAAGAGCCTATTTCATGTCATTCATAGCCATTTAACGGCCACTACCTCACCGTTATTTCTTTTCCAACAACTCTCCACCATCATCACATGTTTAATCCAATGAATCTCTCACTTAGACCCTTCATTACCTACCACGAATGTATTAACTTCTCACTCACCTCATTGACTACTATACATCACCCATCAACTTATTTGGCAAGGCATCTTGATGCCAGATTTCTTTATCCATTTCATTCAAAATTTAGTTATGTTTTCCTTTGTAATGAGTTGTTAGAACTCTGGCTAAGGCTAAAGGGAATGTCCTTTGAGTAAGTTTGTGAATTGTTCTTTAATCCAATATACGGTATGAATTGCTAAATTCTTTTATTTTTGTTTGTTCAATATTTTTATATCCTTTTATTTTGATTGATGTTAAGTGCTACTATCTTTTCATGAGTTCAATCATATTTTTCTCATTGTTAAGAACTGACTTAGCATACTTTTAAATTAAAAGATTAGATATTAAGCAACTAGATTTTCTGAACAATGATTAATAAAAGATAACATTGAAAAAGTAAATTGGTTTTAATTTCTTTATCTTCTAGTTAAAGTTTCTCAATGATAATTTTAATCGAGTTTAATTTGGATTAAAGAGCATGAAACATATTTTGCTTAAAGAATTGAACCTTGATGTCTTAGCATTTCCATTATTGATATTTCATTTTTAAACTCAATTTCTACAACAATCAAATGAAATTACTTGTCCATTTTGCTTGTCACTTTTATTTTGGTACTTTTAATTATTTCTTTGTGTGCAGACATTCGCCTACCTGCTCCTTGAGGATACGATACTTGGACTTCCAAGATTATTACTACGTGTGACTACTTGCACTTGGGTAGACGTAACATCAAGTCCATTTTTCCAAGGAATGAGCAACTTTACTCAACGAACGCAACCCATTGCGTTTGTATGAACAAATAACCCGTTTGTTTGATAAAGTAAGTTAGTTAGGCTCACTTTTCTAGGGAATGGGCAATTTTACTCAATGAACGCAAACCCTTGCGTTCGAGTGAACAAATTGCCCGTTTGTTTGAGAAAGTAAGTGATACTCGCAAGTGCACGAGCCGTTCGGTAGTATAGCGTATGTAAGTGCGAGGTCGATCCCACGAGGATTGGTGATTGAATGATCCCATTCATTTTCCCTACACAAAACAGAAATGAAAAAGAAAGGAAATAAATAAAACAAGGAAGAAAGAAAATAACTAACTCAAGTAGATAAGTTCCCAAGTTCAATTAGATTAACGGATTGATTCTAGCTAATGTATGATTAAGCCATGGTGTGTGGTCATAACCTTGTGTTCCTAATTCCCTAATTTGATCATTTGTTGTCTAACCTAAAATTAAGCATTAGGAACCCATTAAGCATAGAAGAACAATTTAAACAACCAAGCATGTATCTAATCCCTGTTGTCGAATGTCCATACATACTCTTCCTATTCATAGTTCAATTCGAATTAAAGCATGGTGTATACTCTTAATTCAAACCAAGATACCTAACATGCAAGCCTAAATGGTGATCAATCATTCAAACTAGCACATTAACTTATAAGCATAATGAATAAGAACAAAAACCATAATTGAAACTTGGAAACAAATTAAACTTGAATACTTAACCAACCACTCCAATTAGGAACGAACTGCCATCGAACTTGAATTGTCCAATTTGGAACACCTATTGATTTCGGATCGAGCCCAAAACTTGGGCAACATCATAATATGGTGGGAGGAGTCATTTGGTGAGGTTTTAGTGACATCCAA